CTACTAGCTTTATTAACTGCAATTAGATCTCAACATGTTGTAAACAAAAAAATTGTTAACTTCCCACCTTTTTTTTACTTCCCAAATTTGAACCACCCTATTTCCTGTTAACTGCGTCACTAATCAGCTAAGCACGGGAGAGGGAAACCTACCAGCCTTTTCTATTTTATAATGCTCTCACTGGATCTTCCTTTCCTCTTTTCTAGGCTTGTCTTCTGAGCTTACCTTCTTGAAAGCATGGAATACGTACTATTTCTATATCCTCACTTACCATTTACTTATTTATCTTTATTGAACTTGTGGTCCCATTATTACACCCAAAGTATCACCAAAGTCATCAAAATCTTCCTTGCAGAAAGAGGCACTCGTGTTTGAAGGAAACTTACAAGAGTGTCAAAATGAGCACAAAGCAATACCTGGGAATTAATGTAAATTTTATAAGATCTTGAAATAGTAGATGCTCCAGATTAAGAGACATCGAACAGTAAGTAGAGTTTCTATAACCTAAGCACCATTCTGAATAGATGTGAAAAAGAGGGATGTCAACAGAGGAGAGCAATAAATTTAGCTGCAATAGGAGGGAGAAGGATAGAGGTAAGGGCAGCAGATTCAGAGAAGGCCTCATCCATCTTCCAAAATGTTGTCAAATCCAACTGTGACTTTTCAGTCATCTTTTTGGATTTTTTCTTTTTTTTTGCACGCATCACAGTTAACAATTGATTTGTCAAAATTTTAACAAGGTTGGCTTCTAATAAGCTATTTCTTCTAGTTCTTTGGTATTTATTTCTACTCACCTTTTAAATATTGGTGTATGCTAGGGCTTCATCCTCGGCCAGCCAACTGATCTTCCTACCAACACTCTGTCACTGCCACCTCTGCCTCCAGAGCTAAAGAGATCTACCACCTCAGCCATCACAGTATTTAGGACTACAGGAGTGTGCTACCATGCCTGGCTAGTTTTTATAGAGATAGGGTTTCTCCATGTTGCCTAGCCTGGCCTTGAACTCCTGGTCTCAAGCAATCCACCCGCCTCGAAGTCTCAATGTGCTGGGATTATAGGTCTGAGCCTCCATGCCCAGCCTATTTTTATATGCTAATGATTTAAAAGAAACAACTCCCATTAAGGTCCTTTTCTCCTAATATTTCATTTACCCTTGGCTTTCCCTCAGATTTTTCCAACTAGACATATGTAAAACAGAAATCTTTACATTCCATGCCTGCTTTCTCTCCTCAAACCTCTCACTCCTCACTAACTCCTCATTCAAGCCAGGAATTGAAAGGTCTTCTAGGCACTACCATCTACCTAATTTTTCATAATCAATCTATTATGAAGTTTGCCAATTCTCCCATGTATTTGTGCCTGGTTTCATTTATACTGCTACTGCTCAGGGTCACACTCTCTAGATGTCTCTTTTGGATCAAGATTTTTTTTTAAAAAAAAAAAGCAGTATTGAATGCTTTTAATAAGTCAAACACTAGGCTAACACGTTTATCTGTACCATCCCAAATCTGATATAATCCTTACAACATTCTGATAAGATAGGATCTGTTATTATCTGGATTTTACTAAGAGTGGCAGAGCCAGGTCAGTGACCTAGGTTGCTCTATTTCAAGGGCTCCACTGCAACCTCTACATGATATTGACCAGCCTACTGCAAAGGGGTCCTAATTGCTCTTTTGCCTTCTAATTGAAGTTTTCACTTTCATTTTCTCCTCCTTTCTTAAGTATGTCAAACTGATCTTTCTAAAATGCAAACTGAACTAGTGTCTTGCCCCTCAGCACCCCCGTCCCAGCTTTTTAGGGTAACTCATAGGACTCTTCATGACCCTGCTCCTTCCCAGCCACTGTCTGCCCTTTCCCATACCCGCTGACACCATTTCAAAATCTCTAATAATAGAGGCATTTGTCATTTCCTCCAGAAAGCTTGTTTTTCGCTTTTCTTTAAAATGCCCCTCTTTAGTTTCCTCTCGATTGCCAACCCCCCCCCCGGGGAACTATTCTTGAACTCCTAACGTGAGTTATGTACCAAATCCAGTTTTTCTTGGGAGAGTGTTGTTTGTTTAACCTAAAATGGTCTTCTCATTTTCCCTTTTATCTTGCTTCTTTCTGAGAGATCCTAGTTCAGTTCCTTATCACTTTAGTCTTACTTGAAAAATAGCCTGAAGTCTAACTGGCCTACCTCTAACATTCCCTCCTTCGCACTGAGCAATGGATCTCCAGGGACCACAAGGATTACCTGAGAAGCTTGTGAAATTGCAGATTCCAGGGTCCCAGCCTTGGATGTTTAGATCCAGTTAGTCTCTGGTGAGAAGCAGGTGCCACTTCTTAATAAGCATTGCACCCAGGTGGAGACATCCTGTTTCCTGCTGTCAGTAAAATTTTGTCCCCACACTGAGACATGATTGATTTATTGCTTGCTGAAATGTTTTGATGTGTCTTTTTGGTCTAAAATATATTGTAGAATCATCGATGTGTGGCATCGAAATCTCTACAGTTTTCAATCTGTCCTTTGAAGAATATTTCCCTACACTTTGTCTCCAGTCCCTACCTCCTTTCATGGCCCCTTTTCTACTACAAATACTCTAATATACTCTACATTCCATAGGTGCCAGATGCTTTCTTTTTTGCCTCAGTTGGGCACTCTCTGCTCTGGCCTGCCTGCAGTGCCTTCTGAGCCACTTTCTTACTAGTGAACTCCTACCCATCCTTCAAGCTGCAGCTCAACACCACTTTCTTAATAAGGCTTTCCCTGGACCTGCTGCCCTCACCTCTGTCATTTCCACTTCTGCTATGGACAAATCGATCGCTCATCTCTGCTTGTTGGCGTCACTCCTTCCTCCCCATCTGTCCAGAATGGTGCTCACATAATGGAAATCTTTTACTTTTCACGACAGAGTTGACAATTTAAAGATTCTGTATCATTTGTGTTCTATTTTCAGGCTAGGTATTGCTTTGTACTCATTTTGCCACTCTTGTAGCTTTCTGCAAACATGAATGCCTCTTTTTCCAGTGACAAGCAGTTTTTAAGTTTTCAAGTGTGAAAGAAATAGCATGAGTGTGAGTGTGTGTGTGTGTGGGGGGGGTGGTCAATCCATGTGTATGCCAGCACCTTGGCGGGTTCTCCAAAATGTTTTCAAATTGTCAATTCCAGATAAGATTTTCAAGTTTCAGAAAATTCGTATCTAACTTTGGAACAATGTAAGGGTTGTGTTAGAACTTTGAAAAACACCAGAGTCACCACTATCTAAGCTCTCTGTGCAGTATCTGTTATTGTTTTCAATTCTGACAGACTTGGCACTCGAGGGTTCCACAGTCTCTGGTGACACAATGTGGAAAGAAGTTAGAGACACAAAGTAACCCGGCACACACAGAAAAGTGAGCAGGGTCTCTCTGTTCCCCTGGCTGCATCTATCCACCCCACCTCCCCACCCCCAGTCATCAAACTATTATCTGGCATTATTAACCTAAGTTCAAGTGAACATTGTATTCTCTAATTAAAATCATTGTGTTTGTGAAATGAATGTATCATTAGCAAGGCCTTTGGAAACTTTCATTTAAATTTCATTACCAAGGGTTCTAAAATTGATCTCTGATCTTTAGATTATCAACACACCTTTATCTTCTGAAGTTGTGAGAGGAATTTAATAATCTTGTTTTCTTTTTAGAATAAGAAGAGATAGATGGGTGAAAGGATATCTGAGTAACGATTTTCTGGGGGGGGGATATTTTAAACATAAGTGATACTAGTTATTAAAATATAAATTACAAAATTTTGTGACTGAAATAGATCACAATAGGTTGTTCAGCAATGGGATTGGAAATAACAGAAACCATTGATGACCATGGTGTAAAATAAGTGAGAAAGTACAAGGACATTATTATTTAGCCTTTGGATTTGGAAAGTTAAAGCATAAGAATATTCCAATATTATCAGATTATCAGTGGTTGAAAGTTGAATGGGGGAGCTGTGAATTGTGCATTGTTTCCCTCACAGAACCCAGAGATCCTAATGTGAGACGATAAGGGAGGGGAATATGTGTCATTGAGAAATTTCGGTTTGATTTGTATGACTTTAAGGCTGGGGCTGGACTTCTTCACTTTCCTAGGGTGATAAAGGTTACTTCCCTGTTTAAAACCCAAAGTATGATCCATGTGCACTGAGAATCACGGTACCAGATCTATTTAAAAGACCTGATGCCATTTGGTGTAGAAATGCAGGGTGTTGAACAACGAGAACACATGGACACAGGGAGGGGAGCATCACACACTGCGGTCTGTTGGGGAGATATAGGGGAGGGACAGCGGGGGGTGGGGAGTTGGGGAGAGATAGGATGGGGAGAAATGCCAGATATAGGTGAAGGGGAGGAAGGCAGCACATCACACTGCCATGTGTGTACCTATGCAACAATGTTGCATGTTCTTCACATGTACCCCAAAACCTAAAATGCAATTTAAAAATTAAAAATAATAATAATAAAAAAAGGAAATGCAGAGACTGTGATCCAGGCTGTGTATTAGTGTCTGTCTGAACCACAAAGAACTCATGGAGAGTTAGGATCACATAGAACACAGTAAAGGAATAACGATAACGATTATTTCAATTACACAAACACGATTGACTTTTAAAAGAAAGGCTGCTCTTTTTCAATGGCACACGTCTCTCGCATTTCAGCTCCTTTTGCACAAGCATCGCCATGTGACACTCTGATTTCTTCGGTGAATTAAGCGACAGAGCTTGGACAGCAGACAATAACACAGCCACTTTTCGTGGAACACAAAAGAGGTGCATTTTTCTCCGCACCGCGGTCTCACACAACTTCAGTGTTTCCCGCCCCGCGGGCGACGCCCCCACTCGCACCCCGTCTCCTTCCCAGCAGCTCGGGGTGCGGGGCCAGCTGCGCGCCACCCCGCTGCGCTGCAGCGCCGCTGCCGCCGGCACTAGGACCCGGGGACGTCCCCGCGCGGGGCGCGCGGAAAGGCGGCCAGACTCCTCCTTATCTCCAGTGTCAAACTTGACATCAGCCCGCGAGCGGGGCCCGGCAAGTTCTGCAGCATCGGAGCGCTCCCGCTCACATCAGTGGCATGCTTCGTGGAGACATGCTCCTCTCACTGCCCTCTGCAGCAGCAGCATGGATTGTCACCTCTCCATCCTCCTCCTGCTCAGCTGCTCTGCGCTCGGCTGCCTCGGGGAAGTGAGCCCGCAGCCCCCCAACGAAGGTAAGCCCGGTCCCCGCGTGCGCGGCCGGCCGCGCTCACGCCTTCCCCGCGCGTTCTCACCGAGCCCGGCGCGTCGGGAAGGTGCCTCCAGCAGAACACTTTGCGCTGACAGGGAACGCACGATGTGCCTTTTTTTTTTTTTTTTTTTTTTTTTTTTCAGCTGTCTTTTCTAAAACACTTCGGGAGATAATTTTAGATGGTCTAAACCTTCAGAATGTGTTTTTGATCTGATACCAATTCGAGCAATTACCTTGTTGGTCAATTTGACCAGAAAGAAAGAAAGAAAATCCTCCAGCGTTGCAACCCAGTTATGTTAATTGCCAAATGGCCAAGGCAGTATTTTATTTTCTAATTATGACCATGAGGTACTCCGAGAAGTTTGGAAGAAAACCCAGCCTCCTTCTCTAGACTCTGTAGTGTGTTTAAAGGTAATGACAGGTGGTTCCTACTTGGGATCGTGGCATTTATTAATGGACTAGAGGGATATGAGACTGTCGAAGCGGAGGTGCGTATGTGTTTGTGGAGCAAGGGCTGTGCTGAACTTAGGTGCATCCCGCCAGGCAATGCTCTCCTCTATGGTACAGGTTCTAACGAGCAGCATATGCCACTTTAACATAAGTAATATCTACAGGAATTACAATAAGCTTACGTTGGATTCTCTTTGTTTAAACGCTTATATACAAATAGGAGAATGTATTTAATGAATAGTGAATAGCTCCTCGGAAGATATAGTAAATAACTGAATAGTAGATTAAGAGAGAATGTTCCTATGCAGCAAATGCCATTTCCTTGATGTCTGGTTATTTATTATCCTTGTAATGGGCATTCATTTCTTTTCAATGGGTTAAAGTGCAAACCTAATGTTAAGGACACCAGTGTGCGCTATAAGATCGTCTACTTAATACACACACTGTCTTTCTCCTGCATACCTTTTGTGATCTATTCCTAATGACTTGTGAATACAGTCACTAACTCTTAAAACAAACTTCTCTAAATAATTGATTAGTTGAAAGCCACACTTACAACACTAATTTCCTCTTAGTGATTTTGAACTTACAACATTTAGCAATTTATTTTGCGAGTTAACAATACTGAGCAACTGATGTGTAAACATCATGTTATATACATCACTCCTTAGAAAATATATTATCAAGCTGTATATTATAGAGTGTACCTTATTTTGAAAAACAGAAGTAAAAACAAAATATTTAGAAACTTTTTCATTAAATGTAAAAACTGCCTGATATTCAATGACCTACTTTCACTGCTAATAGAGCAGTAATTTATCTCCTTCCTTACGACTGCCTTTATCAATTTGGCAGATTTCATTAAATTTTCTGCATCTTTTTTTTTTTTTTTTTTTTTACTGAGGAAATAAAAATTCTAAAATATAAAGATCAAGAAAATTATCTTACCCACAAATGACTTTTTCTTTTAAAAACAAAATTAAAACATTTATTTGAAAGTAAGGGTCAACATTCTTCTGAATGAAAGGTAAGAGTAGTCATTTGTACAATGGGTAACGTATAATAGGTAACATCAATAAATTAAAATTAATGTTTTAATTTTTTTTGTTTTTTGTAGATGTTAAAATATTAACAATAACTAGAAAAATTGCATTACAATTCCCTCATTGCCATAATGAATTATATTTTCCAGATAGGATGTATATGAACTCAGATAGAACGTTTATGAACTATATAGATAATGGGTATTACTGAATTAATTATGCACAAGGATGTAGCTGATAGTATTTTTGTGGAAAACATAACCTTTAAGTAAACTACAAGAGAAAAAAAAACAGACATCAAAGTATTGCACACTTACATGAAATTAATGAGTATTAATTTAATGAAGCAGAGTTAATCAAATGCAAATTGCTTATAAGCCTCACCTCATGTGTGTTTGAGGACATGATGTACATAATTATACAGACAGGTATATTAACAATATGTGTATAGAAAAGTAAATGTTTCAGAAAGCTGACATAATTACATTTAATTTGCTTGGATAAAAGTTTATCTATTCATCATTCATGGGATTATTCTTTCCAGATTGTGACCTATGAGTAGTGTCTCTTTTCCTTACTGTGATTGTGAAGGGAAGCTTTAAAACAAATTTAAGATGATTTAACTTAGGTAATACTTGGGTGAGATTTTAAATATTAATCCATAGCTTGGCTCATAGTGGTGCTGAATAACATAAAAAGTGAAAATGCCAAGTGTACGCCAAGATTTCCAGGCAAATTTTCTAAGTGTAATTTCAATAGAAAGCAATTCTTATGAAAACTTATATATGGGAGGAGTGATGATTTAAAAATAATATTAATGTCATTTTCTGATATAATTTTTGAAATTTGAAATATGAAATATGAGACTGTATTTAAAATAATATGCTTGAAACATTTCAGCACTATAAAAAATGTACTAGAAATTTACTGGAGCATATTTACTGGAATATATTCTTCAATCTATTATGAACTTAGGCCTGAGAGAACCAAATGAGAACAAAACCAGGCCATTGACTTAATTGCTAGGATATTTGCAGTTGTGTGATTTCTTTTTCAATCTGAGATTTGCCCATTAACTATCAATATTGAAATGCCATGGCTCCCTGGTAAGAAAAATAACTTAGAAAATGTTTAATCTGAATTTTCCTTTTACTAATATATTTACAAATATCTTTCTTATGTGCTTTCAAGAAAATGACTCCAGGTGTTAATAGAGACTCATCAATGAAAATAAATATTCATAATTCCAATGAGCACTTGACTCGGTAGTTAGCCTATATACTTAAACATATATACTGTATACGTAAACAGAACTTTATTAAAACTTTATTAAATTCTTATCAGGTATGTCTGTGAACATGGCTTAAAAAAAGACTTTTAATGGGAAATCAGTTATTTTTTATGGCAAAATACGATTGCTACAGTATGTATTATTTTAAAAGTTTATATACTTACTCGCTGTTTCCATACCAGATGGATTATCATTGGTAAAGAGAAATAACATTGGGGCAAAGTTAAAACTGAATATGAAATAAAATTATCAACTGTGGTTTGTTCAACCCTTTTAGAATTGGTTAATTTCATTAAACACTTTTATATATTGATGGCAGTTTGGGGTACAAAGCACTATTAATTCATCAGTACATAATGCAGGAATCATTTTTTCTATCCAAAAGAGTTTATAAATTGCATTAACATTTATCCAGAAAGTTATTTGTATTGAAAATCATAGTATAAAAAATAAAACCGAATAAAATTAAATATTTATATTTATATACTATTTTTTAAAGACTTTTTTTGAATGGCTGGGACACTAAGAAATGTATTTCTCTAAACATAAATATTCTAAATACTAGAGAAGACTATGTGATTGTTTAAAGCTTAAAAGTAAAACTTGCATATGAATGTTATAATTCTCCCCTTGAGTATTAGGCAAATCTTGGGAAAAATAAATAAATAAATATTTCCCATTTTTAAAAATTATATATAAAAAAGTGTTTATATATGAAAAGTAAATTGGTATCACTTTTCATATATAAACACTTTTCCTCAAATAAGAACACACAGTGATTGAAACATTAATAGAGAACTTAGCTATCATATCATCTTTATAAGTTTTCTTGGTTTGGAAGAGGGTTTACATTTGCTTTTAATAGCATTTCATCATGCTAGACTAAATAATTGAATGCATTATACATTTTTGTAATTTAATAGGCTCTCCTAATAGCTAGCCCCTGCATCCCCCCCACCCCCACTCCACGGTTAACTGTGCTATTTGCCTGAAGGTAGAAGAAACTTTAATTTCACTATTTTATAACCCACAACAGTTAACACTTGACCTAGGTCATTAACAGGATTATCAGCAAATTTGTTTAAGCTTTTACTGACAATCTGAATTGCTACGATAATATTTTGAATGTCCCAGAAAGAAACTTCTTGTAATCTCTCAAAATCTATCACAAAATTAATTCATTCTGAATGTATATCTTTGTAAAGACTAGTATTGATAATAATAATTTGAGTGGGGAAAGTATTCACTCAGGTACCTTAGTCTCCTTATTTTTATGTTTCATAATCACACTACTCCAGTCCTTGTCATAAATGAGCAACTTAGTATCTTTTAGTATCTTTTAGATACTAAATCTTCTAGCAACAGCAATAGATTTATGAATACAAAACAGTTTCATTGTAACTATCAATATTTTTAATTTTATATTTTTTATCATTGTCACTGTAGTTATAGGGTTTTTTTGTTTGTTTTTGTTTGTTTGTTTTGCCTATTTTAAGGTTAAAAGTTAGTCGGAAATACTTCTAACTCAGAAGTGACTGGACCTATAAAGGGGAAACTACATGTAATAAAACACCATTGCCACGTGTTATATCATGGTTGTATTTTATATAAAGTTGTCTTTTCCCTGAAACACTAGAAATTGAGAGCTATAATGAAAAACATTTTAATATAAATTTTAAAACAAAATATTGTACAGAATCAGGTATTAGATTTTTTTTTAACATTTTTTAGTAGGTTTAGAAAGTTTTATGTAAAGTTTTTTATTTCTTGAATTTCATTATGGCTTGCTCCTTGGTCACATAAACAACTTAGTAATTTCACGTTTTCTTAGTAAGTTCATTATTAAATAAATAATTTAGTAACACTCTTTGTGTATTGTCTACATTTTAACATTCAAATTTTGGTGTTTTCTTGAAGGGTTCAATCATTTTAATATTTTTCCACAACAACTTTCTTTATAATGTTAAAAAAAACTTAATTGAAAATTTTCTGAAATAAAATATAAGCAGTTTTTAAATATCAACTAGTTACTTTTGGAAAGGATTTTTAAAGGTAAAATATATTTACACAGTATATTTGATTTACTATATGTGAAAACAGAAAGAAGTGTTCTTGAGAGTTACGTTTTCCAAGTCATAAGGTCTTCAAGAAAATATTAATAAAACTTTCCTCAAGTCATCAAAATTTGATAAGGTTTTA